ACATAAAATACCTTTAGATTGAAGATAACTAATTATTAAAAAAAAAACTCATATTTAGAAACTTATAAAAAAAAAAAAACCATATGTTCATTTTACTTAAATGTTTGTTTAAGATATCCTTTTGGATAAATAATTTGTCCACCACATGATTGTAATGTTTCAAGAAAAAATATTGCTATACGTCGTCCACGTGATTCAGCTTCTTCAACTATTCGACGAATTTCATCAACATATAATTGACATAATTTAGCTTCATCATTATTATAATCAATATCACGATATTTTCCTCGATAGACATCAGCTGTCGGAATCTAAGATATATTTAAAATTTTCTTTTCTAACAATGTCGGATCTTTAAGTGAAAAGTTCTAAAAAAAAAGATGGGTGACGTACTTTTCGTCTCAAGTCATTCCGAACTTCGGAAATGAATTTTTGTCCTTAAATATTTATGATTGGAGTTCGTAATAGAAAAACGGAGAAATTGGAATGGTGCTATCGGGTGTTTGGAATAGAATGAATTTTATTATATCTGATGTAGCTATCGGAGATCGTCAGAAACAAGGTCGGATGTTCGAAATGTATGTCTAACGGTTTTTTTTTACAGAAAAAGATCAGAACAATGAACTGAGATTAGCAGGAAGTTTGTAAAAGAATCTACTAGGAGATCATAACGGATATCAAGATTTTTCTTTCTGTTTTTATAAACAAGACAAGCGTGTCACTTCAAAATCTCTCAAAAGATGAGTAAATCTCAATATAGTTATGAACATCCTGTCTTTGTGATTCCGAACTTTCTCATTCTGATCTCCAGTCAAGATTTTTACTGTTCAACCACTAACAATTGATTGTCAGAGTTCGTCACGAACTTCTGGACAAAGTTCATTCCGAACATCCTGTCGTTTTTCCTATGTTCGGAGATCGTAACGGACTATTTCAACACGAGTTCGTAATGAAAAAGCGAGACGAAAAGTCATTTTCCCAAAAAAACAGTGACGTATCCAGAATTTTTCAGTATGTTGAATCTTGATTTCTGAGCATGGGATCCAGATAAAACTCATGGAAGGTGGTGTTGGATATAAATGATGGAATTTTATCAAAAAAAA